GGGGGATGGGGGGGAGCGGGGAATCCAGGCTTATTTCAGACTTCCTCACAGAAACATTCAATACTAGAAGACAATGAGACATGCTATCAAGTACTTAAGAAATGGAGGCGAGAAAAAACATGAATTTTTACCATTCAAGTGCCAGTTTAAAGTACACAGAGTACTTCAGAAAGACTGTTTCTGTAAACCCTTCTTTAAAAAATTTTGAGGGTAAACATCAGACAATTAAGTGATGAACAGAAACATCATGCCTCAACCTACTTAAAATAAGGTTAAGATTTAAACACATATAAGGATTACTGTTAAAGATCATTAAAACAGAATGCTAAAGAGCTAGCATCGCAGCATTATTCACACTAGCCAATATATGGAAAAAAACTAAGATCTGTCATCAGATGACTGGATCAGGAAGACATGGTATAAGGGGCATAAATGCTAATGAAGTGGTGAACTTGGAGTGAACACACAATACAATATATTATAGAACTGATGTATCATAGAATTATACCCTAAAACCTATATAATTTTATTAACCGTCACATCAACAAATTCAATAAAATACATCCTATATAATAAAGAGGTAATATGCAAATTGACCACACAAGATGGCCGCCACAAGATGGCCTGCATGAGAGGGCAGTTAGGGTGACCAGGCCTGCAGGGGAGGGCAGTTGGGGGGGAACCAGGCCTGCAGGGAAGGGCAGTTAGTGGTGACCAGACCTGCAGGGGAGGGCAGTTAGCGGTGACCAGGCCTGCAGGGGAGGGCAGTTGGGGGGAACCAGGCCTGCAGGGAAGGGCAGTTAGTGGTGACCAGGCCTGCAGGGGAGGGCAGTTGGGGGGAACCAGGCCTGCAGGGGAGGACAGTTAGCGGTGACCAGGCCTGCAGGGGAGGGCAGTTGGGGGGAACCAGGCCTGCAGGGAAGGGCAGTTGGGGGCAATCGAGCCGGCAGGGAAGGGCAGTTAGGTGCTGGCAGGGGAGTGGTTAGGGGGTGATCAGACTGGCAAGCAGAAGCGGTTAGGGGCAATCAGACAGGCAGGCAGGCAAGCGAGTGGTTGGGAGCCAGCAGTCCTGGATTGTGATAGGGATGTCCGATTGCCCATTTAGGCCCGATCCCACTGGGCCTAAAGGGGCAGCTGGACATCCCTCGAGGGGTTTCAAATTGGAGAGGATTCAGGCTGGGCTGAGGGACACACTCCCACCCCCATGCATGAATTTCGTGCACTGGGCCTCTAGTATATATATAAAAGATGTGGTGTATATGACACAATGTGATCCATATACAGTGGGGCCTTGACTTACGAGTTTAATTCATTCCGTGATAGAACTCGTAACTCAAATTACTCGTATGTCAAATCAATTTTCACCATTACAATGAGTTGAAATGCCATTAATCTGTTCCGGACACCCAAAAAACACCGCAATTGTTTTGTTAAATGTTTTTAAATAAGAAAATGTATTTAAAAATAATGAATATTGTATAAAAACACAATACTAAACAATAGAATGTAGTGCAATAAACTTGTTTTATTAAGTTTAATGTACAGCATTTACCTTGGAGATCAAACAACTTAAAGATGCTGATGGAGTTGGAAGAGAAAGGCTGAACTGAATAACTGAATAACTGAATCTAATTTGCTGATTTTTGCCCTTTTCGCCACGCTTTCATCACTTCCATCTACAGGAGTTTTCGATAAAAACCTGTCCAATGAGATCTGTTTCATCCTCCCTTTCAAAATATTTCTGAAATGAGTTAGGCAAGTGTCATTAAATAGCTCCATCGCACGCCCAGTTGCAATTTTTTCTGGGTGTTTCTTTTGAATAAAGTCTGAAAGTTTCTCCCACATTCCCAACATGTCCTTTATCTCACTTATAGAGATAACCTCCTCCTCCTCCATGTCATCTATTTCCTGCAAAACCTCCATGTGCTGCTGCGTCTGTAGCTCCTTTAGCTCCTGCGTTGTCAGTTCCTCGGAGTGCTCCTCGATGAGCTCATTGATGTCACCTTCCTTTATATCTGCGCTCGCTGCCTCATCATGTCTGACAACGGAGTGAATGCCGGTCCTCTTTTTAAAATTTTCGAACCAGCCCCAACTGGCTTTAAACAGCTCGCCCGATGCCTCGTCCATTGAAGTGCCTGGGGTCTGCTGCAGCAAATCAGCATAAATAAGCTCGTGCCTTCTCGCAGATTATAGCCTTCGTCACAGTATCTCCTGCGAGCTGCTTCTCCGTTAACCACACCATTAGCAGCTTCTCCATATTTTCATGGATAGATGTCCGCTGTTTAGAAATTATTTTAACGCCCTTGGCTGGAGTTGTAGCCTGTATCAACTCCTTCTGCTTCAGTATGGTGCAGATCGTAGAAGTGCTATGCTCATACTGCTTTGCCAAGTCAATTACACACACACACCTTGGTCATGTTTTTCGATAATTTCTTTCTTTAATTCAATGTACATCAGCCGCTTCTTCTTCTCAGCACTGTCCTTCGCACTTACTTTCTTCATATCCATGGTTGAAAAAACGAAGTTTTGAAAAATATCTGCAAGCACAAATGCGAGCACAACACTGATGCTTCAACTAAGGGCTAACCACTTAAAGTGAACGAGTGAGACATGTGATACTGGGCTGATGTTGTAGCGTTCACTGTGATGTTCGTTCGCTGCGCCAACTAGCGGTGGGGTATCTGAAGCTGGCTCGTAACCCGAATTTTAGCTCACAACTCAAAGCAAAAGATAGGCCGAGAGATGGCTCATATCTTGAAAAACTCGTTAGTCGGGACACTCGTAAGTCAAGGCCCCACTGTATATATAGACAAACACATACACACCTATATACACAATATAAAAAAATAGGTATGCATATACATACACATAATGGAGTATTATTCAGCCACTAGAAATACATGTATCTTAACAAATGTTTTTTAATATGTTTTTATTGATCTGAGAGAGAGAAGGAGAAAGAAAGAGCAACTGGCTGCCTCCTGCATGACCCCTACTGGGGATCATGCCTGCAACCTGGGCATTTACACTGACCAGGAAAAGAACAGGTGACGTTCTGGTGCAGGGGATGATGCTCAACTGAGCCAGACAGGTAAGAGGAATCTTAGCAAATTTTTGTAAATGCTGATATCCTGCCATTTGAAACAATAAGGATGAACCTGAGGGCATTATGCTCAATGAAATAAGCCAGAGAAAAACACTACATGGCATAACATGTCTGGAATCTAAAATAAGTCAATAGAGTACGAAAGTGGTTGCCAGGGACTGGGCAAAGGGGACGTTGGGAGAAGTTGGTAAAAGGGTACAAACTTTCAGCTAAAAGATGAGTAAGGTCTGCGGATTTAATCTATAACATGGTGACTAGAGATGGTAACACTGTATCATATAATTAAAAACTGATTAAAGAGATTAGAACTTAAAGGTTCTCACATAAAAAAAAGTCACCTTTAAAATTTTTAAAAATTAAGTCAATGTAATAAATCTACATAAATTGGAAACAAAATTAATAGAAGTAAAGGGGAAAAGAGAGAGGAGGAGGAGCTAAATATGCCTATTTTGCTGTTCTTTTTGCTTCGGTAACCAGGAACCAAAAAGATATCGTTTAAAGGAAAGAAATGTACTTTTATTACTTGATTTATCAGTACAAATGCATACAAAAATAGTATTAACATAGTCAAAAAAGTCCAGTGGTACAAGAGTGGAGAGTAATAGCAAAATGCATGGCAGGGTTAACTCTCTCCACTGAGAGTTATATAATTACACTAGAGGTTGTGCACGAAATTCATGCAGGGTAGGGTCCCTAACGGCTGACGGCTGTGGCCTTGCTTCCCAGGCTGCCAGCTGCCACCCGGGGCCTTCCTTCATCCCGCACTGCCCCCAGGTGGTCAGCACACATCATAGCGAGTGATCGAACTCCCAGTGAGTCGAACTCCCGAGGGGACATTTTGCATATTAGGCTTTCTATATAATAAAAGGTTAATATGCAAATAAACCGAACGGCTGAACAACCGGTCACCATGATGCACAATGACCACCAGGGGGCAGACGCTCAATATAGGAGCTGCCCCCTAGTGTTCAGTGCGCTCCCACAGGAGGAGCACCACTCAGCCAGAAGCCGGGCTCACAGCTGGTGAGCGCAGTGGAAGCCTCTCCTGCCTCTGTGGCAGTGCTAAGGACCCCGAGGGGTCCTGGACTGTAAGAGGGCGCAGGGCGGGCTGAGGATGGTGTCCCCCCCCACCCCAGCAAGTGTATGAATGTCCAGTAATTTGACCAGTAAATTATGACTGTTCTTAGAAATTCAGTTAGTTAGCTCTGTCTCTAGTGTTTAATAGTCTTCCTAAATCATATCCACCAGTACACATGAAGTTTTTCTTTTCAATTTTAAAAAAATAATTTTATTGAGGGCGCAGAGAAACATCAAGGAGAGAATATCACTGATCATCTACCTCCTGCACAACCCCTACTGGGAATAGAGCCCACAACCCGGGCATGTGCTCTTGACCAGAATTGAACCTGGGACCCTTCAGTCCACAGGCCGACGCTGTATCCACTGAGCCAAATGTCTAGGGCATGAATCTTTGTTTTATCTCTGTCAAAGAATATTCATTTGTAATCTTTTCACATGTGGTAATAATCTTAAATAGCCAACATTTGGCATAATTCCTAACACAAAAATAAAACAAAAAAAACCCAATCTTTATAACATTATCTATATACCAAAAATTATCTACTTTCCTGATTTTTGTCAGCAGAATCATGTACTTTCTACGAGCAAAATTTAACAGCAGCCTTAATTACCTCCAACAACACTACTTGTGTAGGAAAAATATATTTTTTTTATAAGGACATTCTCTCAGAAAAGGGAGAATGTTGCTTCTAATATGTTGAGTTCCAACTGTCTCTAAACTAAGTAGCAATTTAAATAGTAATAGATGTTACTGGGAACCATAAATAAGCCTTAAGAAAAAAAACAAAAACCCATCTACATGAACCCACCTTACCTTGTCTCATCAACATCAACTGGTGCTCATGCCTGGCTGCTTCCATTTCTGCCTCCAGCTTCTCTTTGGCTTCTCTAATGTTTCTGTCGACCTGCTCACGCTGCTGCTTCTCCATTTCGTCAAGAGCCTTCCATCTAGATGCATACTCAAATTCAAATGTCCCAGGCTGAGCAAAACGTGGTGGCTGTTCTCTTTCCCTACGTTTACAGTTAAAAACATACAGAAGTGTATGTTTAAAAGGTAAAACAGCTAAAAATAAAAGAGCATCGTTTACTGAGCACTCACAATATTCACAGCACTGTCAGGAAAATATTCTACCTGAATTGCCTCGTGGCAATACTGTGATGCAAATTTTAAAAAGCCTGATTTTGAGAAACTGCCCAAGAATGCCACAACAGTAATGAAATCAGAATTCAAAGCTATGCAATAGGATACTAAACCTGTACTCCCCTAATAATCACCTACATTAAGGCCTTTCTAGTATTCATTGAACAAATAATTTTACATAATGAATCTGCAACATATGAATCCAATGTGTCCTAAGTTAATTGTCTGGAATCAATTTATTTTCCCCTTTTAAGTAGTAACTTTTAGGGATAGTAGTAAAAGCATGTAAGAGATTACTAAATTTTTTTAAAAATATATTTTATTGATTTTTCACAGAGACGAAGGGAGAGGGATAGAGTTAGAAACATCGATGAGGGAGAAACATCAATCAGCTGCCTCCTGCACACGCCCCACTGGGGACATGCCTGTAACCAAGATACATGCTCTTGACCGGAATCGAACCTGGAACCCCTCAGTCCTCAGGCCCATACTGTATCCACTGAGCCAAACCAGTCAGGGCAAGCTTACTAAATTTTATGTACCAGGCTAATTGGCTAGGCCAAAATATAAATACCTAACATACTTCAATTGTAGTTATTTGTTCAGTACTCGTTTTCCTTGCTATTCTGTGAACTCAATAAAGACATGAAATGTCTGTTAACAGCTGTACCACAATGCATACATTTATTATTTACTACAGGCCCAGTGCACGAAATTCGTGCATGGGTACGGTCCCTAGGCCTGGCCTGGCCAGCGATCGGGGCCAACCTGTGGAGTGACCAGCGGAGCGATCGGGGGACCCCACTGGCACCCACCTTGGCCAGCCAGGCACCGCCCACTCGCCCCTCTGTGGGAGGCAACAGGCAGGGCGACCAGCGGGGTGATTGGGGAACCCCCGCTGGCATCCGCCTTGGCTGGCCTGGGGCCTGAGGGCTGGGGGCAGCTCCTACGTTGAGTGTCTGCCCCCTGATGGTCAGTGTGCATCATGGCGACTGGTCATTCCATCAAAGGGTCCCAGGTTTGATTCCCAGGCACAAACGTGGGTTGCAGGTTCAATCTACAGGGCACGTATGGGAGGCAACCAAAAGATGTGTCTCTTTCACTTCAATCTCCCCCCCCCACCCCCCCCACTTCACGCTCTCTAAAAATCAATGGAAAAAGTATCCTCTGGTGAGGATTAACAAACAAACAAACAAAAGAAAGCCACACTCCTCTGCTCCCTAGCACCCACTTTTCCCAGTCTTTGTCACCATATTTGTTTTACTTATATTATTGGTTACCCATTTTACCACCCCACACAGCATGAATTTCTAGTCTATTTTTTTTTTTAATTAAATCTTTATTGTTCAGATTATTACATTTGTTCCTCTTTTTTCCCCCCCATAACTCCCCTCCTCCCAGTTCCCGCCCCACCCTCCGCCCTCACTCCCCACCCACTGTCCTCATCTATAGGTGCACGATTTTTGTCCAGTCTCTTCCCGCATCTCCCACACCCCTTTCCCCCCCAGGAATAGTCAGTCCATTCCCTTTCTATGTCCCTGATTCTATTATAATCACCAGTTCATTCTGTTCATCAGATTATTTATTCACTTGATTCTTAGATTCACTTGTTGATAGATGCATATTTGTTGTTCATAATTTGTATCTTTACCTTTTTCTTCCTCTTCCTCTTCTTAAAGGATACCTTTCAGCATTTCATATAATCCTGGTTTGGTGGTGATGAACTCCTTTAGCTTTTCCTTATCTGTGAAGCTCTTTATCTGACCTTCAATTCTGAATGATAGCTTTGCTGGATAAAGTAATCTTGGTTGTAGGTTCTTGGCATTCATCACTTTGAATATTTCTTGCCACTCCCTTCTGGCCTGCAAAGTTTCTGTTGAGAAATCAGCTGACAGTCGTATGGGTATTCCCTTGTAGGTAACTGAGTTTCTTTCTCTTGCTGTTTTTAAGATTCTCTCTTTATCTTTTGCTCTTGGCATTTTAATTATGATGTGTCTTGGTGTGGTCCTCTTTGGATTCCTTTTGTTTGGGGTTCTCCGCGCTTCTTGGACCTGTAAGTCCATTTCTTTCACCAGGTGGGGGAAGTTTTCTGTCATTATTTCTTCAAATAGGTTTTCAATATCTTGCTCTCTCTCATCTTCTGGCACCCCTATAATTCTGATGTTGGTACACTTGAAGCTGTCCCAGAGGCTCCTTACACTATCCTCGCATTTTTGGATTCTTTTTTCATTTTGCTTTTCCGGTTGGGTGTTTTTTGCTTCCTTGCATTTCAAATCATTGACTTGATTCTTGCGCTCCTCTGGTCTGCTGTCGGGAGTCTGTATAATATTCGTTATTTCAGTCCGTGTATGCTTAATTTCTAGTTGGTTCCCCAATATAACATCGAGGGTCTCATTAGATTTCTTGTAGATCTCATTAAGTTTATCGGCGGCTTCTAAACAGTTCTTGAGAGACCTTAAAAGTGTGGTTCTGAACTCTATATCTTCCATTGACAATTTTGTCCTGTTTCTTTGTCTCCGCATTTTGTTATGCTTCCTCGGTGCACCCCCTAGTGGTCTTTGTTCGCAGTCTTATAGTTAAATCTTGATTGTTGTAGCTAATACCAGGGAGGGTTTGACCTCCAGGCCAAGTGGCTATGAGAATCAGCTGTGTCAGCAGTGAGAGAACTTCTGTCCTCTAGGGAGGTGCTAATCTAGCCTTTGCCTGAGGCTATCCGGCAAATGCCTGTGTGCAGGGCTTGGGCGGGGTGGGCCGAACAGGATCAACAGGGTGGGCCGGAGAGAGCAGTTATGGCGGCTCTCAGTCCTGTCCCCAGGGGCTCTGCCTCTCTGAGTCCCAGCACCCGCTGCAAAGCTCAGAGAGAAAGCTGCACTCGCTCTGACCGAAGCCAGACAGTCCCGCTTCTCCCGTTTGAGTCTGGGTCCCTAAAGACTCGCCCGGATCTGGAGCTCAGAGTCTGCGACTCCCTCCCGATTGAAAACGCCAACCACGCCCTCCGCCGCCAGCCCGCTCAGTGCACTCCGCACCTCAGAATTTGACTTCAGCACTGCGCCTCCTCTGAGTGTCCCTATGCGTTTCTCTTTCCTCCTAGTTGTAGGACTTCCACTCAGCCAGCGTTCCTGTGGTTCTGGGTGATGTCCCTTCTGTTTTTTGGTTTCACTTTTGAAGTAGTTGTTCAAAGCAGCAAACTCCGGCGTTAACCTATGCCGCCATCTTGGTTCTCCTCTCTAGTCTATTTTGTTCTCTGATACATCTTCATCACTAGGCATATAGCAAGCACTATGTATCATTTGAATCAAGTGAAATGAAAAACATTCAACTACACTAAAATCAAAAAATGCCAATTAAAATAAGAGGCAAAAAATAGTATTTTGAACAGACTATTAAATCTTAAAATCCTAACACCCAATTATCATGAAGAAAAATACTTTTAAATATACATCAATAAGTATAAATTGGTATAAAATTATTGGTGAACCATTTGGCAGTATCAATCAACTTATTTTAAAAAGGGAGAGGAAGAGAGAGATAGAAACATCAGTGATGAGAGAGAATCATTGATCAGCTGCCACACTGGCAAGGCTCTAAGTAGTTCTTTAAATAGTACTTCTGCCCAGCTGGTGCTGCTCAATAGTTGAGCATCAACCCATAAACCAGGAGGTCATGGTTCAATTTCCTGTCAGGACACATGCATGGTTGCAAGCTCAATGCCATGTAGGGGGCATGCAGTAGGGAGCTGATCAATGATGTTTCTATGTCTCTATCCCTCTCACTTCCTCTTTGTCTAAAAATAAATTAAAAAATTATTAAAATAATAATACTGATTTCTTTAAAAAAGTAAATTAAATAGTATCTCTCACTACTTAATAGATGTTTTATAATCTTCAGTTCATTATTTGGTTTTACAGGTTTTTTGGTGTGTTTTTTAAAATTGATTTTAGAGAAAGAGGGAGAGAGAAATATCGATGTGAGAAACATCGATCGGTTGCCTCTCATAGGCACCTAATTGGGAATGGAACTGGCAATCTTTCGGTGCACAGGATGAAGCTCAACCAACTGAGCCACACTGGCCAGGGTGTTTTTATATGTGTTTTCATGTTCTTATTTTCTATTCTTCGCTTCATTACTTATCATGTATCTCCACCACCTGAAATGTAAGCAGCATGAGAGCAGTAACAGTGCAAAGTTGCAATGGTAACACCTAGAACAGTGCCTGGCATCAAGATATTCCAATATTTGTTCAATTCACTACAGCTTTATTTATTATAATAAACAACTGACTGGTTAAAATGTATTTATACAGCCCTGACCGGTTTGGCTCAGTGGATAGAGCATCGGCCTGTGGACTGAAGGGTCCTGGGTTCAATTCCCGTCAAGGGCATGTACCTTGGTTGCAGGCACATCCCCAGTGGGAGGTGTGCAGGAGGCAGCTGATTAATGTTTCTCTCTCATGAATGTTTCCAACTCTCTATCCGTCTCCTTTCCTCTCTGTAAAAAATCAATAGAATATTTTTTTTTTAAATATATTTTATTGATTTTTTTATAGAGAGGAAGGGAGAGAGATAGAGAGCTAGAAACATCGATGAGAGAGAAACATCGATCAGCTGCCTCCTGCACACCCCCCACTGGGGATGTGCCCGCAACCCAGGTACATGCCCTTGACCGGAATCGAACCCGGGACCCTTCAGTCCGCAGGCCGACGCTCTATCCACTGAGCCAAACCGGTTTCGGCAGAATATATTTTTTTTTTAAATGTATTTATACAGCAACTTACATATGCATCAGCCCAGCCATTGTGGCTCCGTGGTTGAGTGTTGACCTATGAATCAGGAGATCACCATTTGGTTCCCAGTGAGGGTACATGCACGGGTTACAGGCTTGATCCCCAGTGTGGGGAGTGCAAGAAGCAGCCAATCAATGATTCTCTCTCATCACTGATGTTTCTATCTCTCTCTCCCTCTCCCTTCTTCTCTGAAGTCAATAAAAATATATTTAAATTTTTTTAAAAAGTTGCTTCATACTGAGTGAAAAGCAACTGATAAAATAATATACAATATTTTAACAATAAGCTAATTTTCTTTTAAATCTCTAACAAGAGATCAAATGTGCCAAGTTATTTATCTGGGTCCGCCCCCAACTCTACCTCCCAAAAAAATCTCCTTTTTAACTAATAACATACCAGAAGTATACTAATTAAATAAATATTCTCATTAATCTAGAATTCATTGTTTCTCTAACATAAACACTGCCAATATCCTTACCGACCCATCACAGACCATTATAAAAGTAGGGACTTTTCTAAGTATTAACTTAATGTTTTACCCATATACAAAGAAAACTAGCATTCCATGTAAACCTGGAATTATTAGGCCACTCTAAAAACCAGATTATATGACTAAAGAGAATAGCTTCTAATCCAACAATATTTGAAAACAAATGTGATGTAATAAATAGCCTAGATGGCACATATGTAAAATATCTTTATTACACAATCTTACTTATGATATTGTTGAGTTTTCTGCATTAGCTTCTCTGGCAAGCCATCTTCATCATCAAACTGCTCCATTGGCTCCACAATGACAGGACGTGGGGTCCTGGACAGGTAAAGAGCATTAACAAGGATTAATACAGTGTCTAAAATTAACATTCGCTTAGCAATGTTTTATAATTCCAAGATACATACTTGGAAACTGTCTCTCAAGATAAATTTCTCAGAACTTAGCATATATACTCAAAAATCAATTACCATTTGCTGCACCAGACACAGATGAACAACAGAGTCAAAGATGAATGCTTGTTTCTAGAGCACAGAGTCTATTTAAGATGACAGAGAAGTAAACCCACTATGAACCTTTATGAACATATAGTTAACCTTTAGAAAGTATGAAGGATAAGAATAGTAATGAGTACCAAATTCATGTTTTATGTATATGGTATCATGTTCCCATTTCCCACAACCTCAAACTCCCATCTCTGCCTACCTCTCATAGCCTCTGTCTGTGTTTAACCAGTCGTCTTCACAAAAGTCTTTCTAAAACATAAAATGAGACCTAAAAGGTATCAGCCAGGCATAGGGGAAGGAGGAGTCAGAAGATATAACATATTCAAGGAGCCAGATAAGGGGAAGAGGAAATCAAAAACAGTAGAAAGTAATGTAAACTCTAATTGAAAAATTTTTTGCCTTGGCTGGTGAGACTCAATTGGTTGGAATGTTGTCCCATGCAATGGAGGGTAACAGGTTCAATTCCCAGTCAGGGCACATACCCAAATTGTGGGTTCAATCCCTGGTCAGGTATGCATACAGAAGAAAACTAAATGATGTTTCTCTCTCTCCCTCTCCCTTTCTCTATCTCTAAAATCAATGGAAGCATATCTCAAGTGATTAAAAAAAAAAAAAAAAGACTCCTAGCGGGTTTGACTCAGTGGATAGAGCATCAGCCTGTGGACCAAAGGGTCCCAGGTTTGATTTCCATCAAGGGCACAATCTCAGTTGCAGTCTTCTCCCCAGCCCAGGCCCTGGTTTTTATACCCAGTAGCAAAATGCCTTCCAAAGAACAAAATAACCAATTTCCATTAGCACCAGGAGTTATAAAAACGCTCATGTGACATCACTTTAATTCACTGCGTATTTTTAAATATTTACCAACATAACAGATTTTTTTTTAAGTTTGTCTTTCTTTAATTACTAATTAAAAGTGATTTAAATATCCAGCACACCCTGCCTGGCCAGTGTGACTCTATGGTTACAGCGTCAGCACCAAAGGGTCTAGGGTTCAATTCCCAGTCAGGGGCACATACCTGGGTTGCAGGTTTAATCCCTGTTCCCAGTCGGGGCTCCTGAGGGAGGCAACCAATAGATGTGTCTTTCTCACATTGTTTCTCTTTCTCTCTCCCCGCTCCCTGCCTCCTTCTCTCTCTAAAAAAACAATGAAAAAAATATCCTCGGGTGAGGACTAACAAAAAAAAAAAAAAAAAATACTTAGCCATAAATGTCTCTCCTGAGTTAAAAGAAAGCCCTAGAGGTTGAAGGAGAACTGGTATGTTAGGAAGAGGTAATAAATTCTTTCTCAAAAAAAATTTAAAAAATGAAAGGGACAAATATATAGCAAATAGATTAATAAGACACATAACAAGGATTTGAGCTACATCAATATGGGCTTGATACCTGATAGGGGGCATACAAAGACAGCCGATAGATGGTTCTCTCTCATATTAATGTTTCTCTCTCTCCCGCCTCTCCCTCTGAAAATCAATTTTTAAAAATCTTTAAAAAAGCAAGTTTTTAAAAAAGCTGTTCTTGGATTTACCATAAATAAATAAATAAATAAATCCCAAAGGTAATAAAATAAGTAGTGATATAAAGGAGAAAGTCTAAAAATGTCTTGAAATCTTCCTATAAAACGAACAAAACAAAAAAAGAATAAGTATAAACTCTTAAAGCGTAAAAGAAAACAACAAACTGAAGCACATTCTGAAAAAAACTGTCCTGAACTCTTCAAAAATGCCAATGTCGTACCCCGCTGATGTGGCTCAGTGGTTGACCATCGACCTATGAACCAAGAGGTCACGGTTCCTGGTCAGGGAACATGCCTGGGTTTTGGGCTCAATCCCCAGTGGGGGCATGCAGAAGGCAGCTGATCAATGATTCTCTCTCATCATTGATGTTTCTATCTCTCTCTCCCTCTTTCTTCTGCTCTGAAATAAATTTTAAAAAGAGAAAGGAATACCTTAAGAAGCTTGATGTAAACTCTCTTTTGCCCCACTTTAAGAAATAAAAATTATCAAGGGCGGGGGGGAAAAAAGGACACATATGTAATACCCTTTGTAATACTTTAAGCAATAAAAAAAAAAAAAGCCTAATTAAAAAAAAAATAAAAATAAAAATTAGAAAAAAAAATTTCTTTTAAAGTGCCAATGTGGCACTGACACTTTGTCATTTGGAGAACTATTACAGATAAAGAAAAATGACAACTAAATTCAATTTGATTACTAGACTGAAAAAAGTTACAAAGAATATTACTATGCAGTGGGGAAATTTCAAATATAGACTATATGTTAGATAACAATACTGAATAAATGTTAAATTACCTCAGTGTGATAATGATATTGTAGCTTTATGAGAGAATATTCTCAGGAGACACATGCCAAGTACTGTATTCAGGGGTATAGTATAAAATCTGTAGCTGATTAACAAATGAATTTGCAAGCAAGATTTGAGTGTATATATAGTGTGGGGGTGGGTGGGGGGAATGTGGCAGATGCTAACAATTAGTCAATGCCAATACCATTAAAGGGTTGTTTTAAAGAGAAAATTTCTTCTCCTAACCAAAACTGAAATGGACACATTTTTTTTGCATTTTTTCTTTTTAGTCCTCACCTAAGGGTATGTTTTTATTGATTTTGAGAGAAAGAGAGAGAAAGCAGGGAAGAAGCATCTATTGAATGCCTCTAACCAGTGATGGAACCCAAAATCTAGATCTGTGCCCTTGACCGGGAATCAAACCCAAAACCCTTTGGTATACAAGACGACACTCTAATCAGCTAAGCCACCAGGGCAGAGTCACATTTTTCTGCTTTTTAGGGAAGCAACACCAACATTATCATTTATATTTTTATATATATTTTTTTTTAATTAATTTCAGAGAGGAAAGGAGAGGGAGAGATAGAAACATCAATGATGAGAATCATTAATCGACCGCCTCCTGCACGCCTCCTACGGGGGATCAAGCCTGCTACACAGGCATGTGCCCTTCACCTGAATCAAACCTGAAACCCTTCAATCTGCAGTCCAACAATGCTCTATACTCTGAGCCAAACATTATTTTTAAGTATCAGCTGGAAAATGGTAAAAATAGACCATTATACAGGGTGGGGCAAAATTAAGTCTACAATTGCATTATTATTTAATTATTTTCTATACAATCAACTGTAAACCTATTTTTGTTTCCCTCTCTGGAATTTTCATTGAATTTAACCTGCAATAATCATTTCAAAAATTTAAAAAGCAACCGGTTTGGCTCAGTGGATAGAGCGTCAGCCTGCGGATTCAAGGGTCCCAGGTTCGATTCCGGTCAAGGGCATGTACCCTGATTGTGGGCACATCCCCAGTAGGGGTTGTGCAGGAGGCAGCTGATCGATGTTTCTTTATCATCGATGTTTCTAACTCTCTATCCCTCTCCCTTCCTCTCTGTAAAAAATCAATAAAATATATTTAAAAAAAAAAAGGAAAAAAAAATTAAAAAGCTAGAAAGAGAAAAATTTAACTATTGAGCACCTATCATTCCCTGTGCAATTCTAGGCATGAGCATCTCTAATGGTCTAGGTGCGATTCTAATGTTTAACAATGTGGATACACCCTTATTATCAGAAATAAAGGTGTTTAATTTTCCTTCCTCCCCCTCCCCATTTTTCTGCCTCTTGTAATTTCAAAAGAGCTTAAGTACATACTTTTGCATATGTTAATTATATATACTGTATAAATACATAAACCATTTGTAATATACAGCATTTTAAGACAATTTAAAGAAATTTAAGAGAAATTTTGATTACACAATATGTCTACATTTAATAACCAAATCACTTGATTTAATTCAGATGTCTGAGATTCAGTCAGTTCATCAATAAATAATTCATTACCTAGTAAATTCCAAGACTGTACTTGGGGCCAGAAATATAAGGGTAAACAAAATAATCCCGAAAGTCTTCTAAGAGATAAAAGATTGTAAACAAAATAATCATTTTAAGAGCTATTAGAAAGAGTAACAGAGGGAACACACTTTAGATAAGGCAGTCAGGAAATCCTCTCCACGAAGTGACATTTTAACTGAGACCCACTAATCTAGCAGCCGAGAAAACAGCATCCTGAATTCCATGAGAAGGTTTAACTAACAACAAAGTTCGTGAGCATGGAGTCACAGGAAGAATAAACAACTCCACTTGTAGCACAATATAAAAAGCAAGAATGTGCCCTCGCCGGTTTGGCTCAGTGGATAAGCATCCGCCTGAGGACTAAAGGGTCCCAAGTTCCATTGCGGCCAGGGGCAGGTGCCCAGGTTGCAGGCTCGATCCCCCACAGTGGGGGGCATGCAGGAGGCAGCCAATCAGTGATTCTCTCTCATCGGTTTTGTTTCTATCTCTCTATCTCCCTTCCTCTCTGAAATCAATAAAAACAAATTTTTTTAAAGGCAAGAATTTGCACCAGTTGAGCCCAGTGGTTGACCTATGAACCAGAGGGTCAAGGTTAGATTCCCAGTGAGGACATATGCTTGGGTTGCAAGCTCAATCCACATTAGAGGACATGCAGGAGGCAGCCAATCAATGGTTCTCTCATAGATGTTTCTATCTCTCCCTCTTCCTTCCTCCTCTGAAATCAATAAAAACATTTTTTTCAATTTACTAAAAAAAAAAAAAAAAAAAAAAAAAATAGCATCAGACTAAACTTCACCACTTATTAGCTGAGCAATCTTCTTAAGCAAATTACTTAACATCTCTGGCCTAATTTTCTCACCGGAAACATGGGACAATTAATAGCCAGTGTTGTTATGGAAATCTAAGAGGTCACGATTATGAAGTATCTAACAGATAATAAAATATTCAATACCTTGCCCATTCCATTAAAAGTATTTTTCAATTATTCTAAAAGCTACCTGTAAGAACTTGTTAAATATTTACCAATTCCTACACCCTAGCTTGTCTGGCTCAGTGGATAGAGTGTCAACCTGCTGACTGAAGGGTCCCAGGTTTGATTCTGGTCAAGGGTACATGCCTGGGTTGAGGGCTGGATCCCCAGTACGGGGTGTGCAGGAGACAATAGATCAATGATTCTCTCTCATCATTGATGTTTCTCTCTCCCCCTTCCTCTTTGAAACCAATAAAATACATTAAAATAGGTATAAATATATACCTATATATTTACCTAGCCATACAAAATTAAAATGGCTACAAAAAAGTACCTCTCAATAATAACCCTAAATGTAAATGGATTAAATGCTCCAATCAAAAGATGTAGAGTAGCTGAATGGATACAAAAACAAGGCCCAACTATATATGCTGTCTACAAGAGACCCACCTCAAAACAAAAGGCACACACAGGATGCAAGTAAAGGGATGGGAAAAATTTTCCATGCAAATGGAAAAGAAAAAAAAACTGGGGCCCTAACCAGTTTGGCTCAGTGGATAGAGCATCAGCCTGGGAACTCAAGGGTCCCAGGTTCGATTCTGGTCAAGGGCATCTACCTTGGTTGTGGGCACATCCCCAGTAGGGGGTGTGCAGGAGGCAGCTGATCGATGTTTCTAACTCTCTATCCTTCTCCCTTCCTCTCTGTAAAAAATCAGTAAAATATATAAAAAAACAACAAACTGGAGTAGCAATACTCATATCCAAAAAAAGAGACTTTAAAGGCATCATGCTAAGTGAAATAAGCCAGTTGGAGAAAGATAAATATCATATGATCTCACTCATTTGTGGAATATAATGAACAAATAAACTGATGAACAAAAATAGAGCCAGAGGGGGGAAAAATATCCTAAAATATAATAGAAGTAATCCTGTTATTTGCAGATTTTTAATATTTCCTACAATTTTTGTGATATCATACTATGTTAGTACAGTTCTGATATTATACTTAAAATCCTTTTATTCTTGAAATATTAATGTTTATTGCATGTAATATTATTATATATAAGATCATTTTTCTAAAATTAAAAAAAAAAGAACTTCAATGGCAAACTGAAAGGCATGTTAATTTAGCAACAGGTATAATGACCTTCTTAATTACATAAAATTAATTTTAAGTAAATGGAGAGTTATACCATATTCATGGATTAGAAAATGTCAATACTGTGAAAATGTCAGTTTTGCCCAAATGAGCTGTAGACTCAATGTAATTATAATCAAAAGCCCAGGAGAGCCCAGGCCAGCCAGTTCAGTGGTTAGTGTCAGTCTGCATATGGGAGTATTGGAGGTCCAATCCCCACCACCCCCCACCCTTTGGAGTGCTTGTGTGAGGCAACCAATAGATGTCATATGAATGTCTCTGTCTCTCTCTTTCTCTCTCCTCATTCCCTTTCACTCTGTCTAAAAGCAATGGAAAAAATATCCTCACTCTTTGGGTAAGGATAAAAAAAAAAAAAAAAAAAAAGGCCCAGTAGGATGTTTAATTGACAAACTGATTTTAAAACACAGTAAGGTTATAAAAAGAAAAAATGATAACCAGAAAAAATTTGAAAAACAATAAAGTTGGATGATACTACCCGATTTCAAAGCTTAGGCTAAAGAAAGTACAGTACAGGTCAAGGAAAGAGAAAGAGTGCAGGTTTTCTTTTCCAGACTTTTGATAGAGGTAAAAGGTAAAAAAGAAGAAATACTCTTTACAATTAATGGTGTTGGAACAAATGGGTATCTATATGAAAAAAAATGAATTGTTACCTTATATCATACTCCAAATGGATCACAGGTATAAGTTAAAAAAGCTATAAAATGTCTCAAGAAAACATGAGAGATGCTTTATTACCTACCTTAGGAAAGGCAATGATTTCATACAACATTACAAAAAGCACAAACAAACCATAAAAGAATATATTTGATAAATTAGACTTCAAAAAATATAAAAATTTCTGCTCTTTGTAGAACACCATGAAGAAAATTAAAAACCCACAGACTGGGAGAAATAGTCATGATACACACCTGTATCCAAACTGGTTAATGTGATAAGACAAACCACCCAATTAAAAAAAAAGCTTCACCAAAGATATGAAAAGAGTAAGAGGACATGAAAGATACTCATCATTAATCATTAGGAATATAAAATTTAAACCACAATGAGACACACCTACACTCAGAATATCTAAAAAACAGAGATACTATGAAGTGTTGATACAGATATGGAGCAACTAGAACTTTCCCATTCAATGCTGGTGGGAGAGTTAAATGGTATAACCATTTTGGAAGGGTTTGGCAATTTCTTACAAAGGTGAATATACAGCCATTAACTCTTAAATATTACCCAAGCCACATGAAAACATAATGTTCACAAGTCTTATACACAAATGCTCATCACAGCTTTATTGATAATAGTCAAAATTTGGAAGAAATTTGAATGTCCACCCTTAGGTCACTGGACAAACGGTGGTTATAACCATACGATGGAATACAACTCAGCCATGAAAATGAACAAAATCCGAATACAATTACAAGAATGCAATCTCGTTAAAAAAAAAAAAGAATGCAATCTCGTAAACATTATGCTAAGCAAAATAAATCAGACACGCCGAAACCGGTTTGGCTCAGTGGATAGAGCATCGGCCTGCGGACTGAAGGGTCCCAGGTTCGATTCCGGTCAGGGGCATGTGCCTGGGTTGCGGGCACATCCCCAGTGGGAGGTGTGCAGGAGGCAGCTGATCGATGTTTCTCTCTCATCGATGTTTCTAACTCTCTATCTCTCTCCCTTCCTCTCTGTAAAAAATAAATAAAATATATTAAAATAAAATAAAATAAAATAAAAAAATAAATCAGACACAAAAGAGTACATGCTATATGACTTCATTTTTATGAAATATTAGAAAAGGCAAAACTGATTTATAGTAACAGAAAGATCAATAGTTGTGTAGGACAGGAATAAGGAGTGGGGAATAAATGCAAAAGGACACAAAGGAACTTTTGTTGGATGATGGAAGTATTCTTTTATCTTGTGATGGTACGTTGTGTAAATATATATGATTTGTTAAAACTTGTTGATTTAAAATTGAGTGCATTTTGATGTAAGTAAATTACACCCCAATAAAGTTGATGATTATGTCATTCTTTCATTCATTATTTAAATATAGAGACATACCTTGTTTTATTGCACTTCACAGATATTGTGTGTTTTTATAATTTGAAGTTTGGGGGCAACCCTGTGTCCAGCAGTCTACCATCATTGCCATTTTTTCAATAGCATTTTCTTTTTTTAAGCAATAAAGTATTTTTAAATTAAAGTATGTACTTTAGACATAATGCTATTGCACACTTAATAGACTACAATATAATATAAACATAACTTTTACATGCACTGGGAAACCAAAAAATTCATGTGACTTGCTTTATCACCATATCTGCTTTATTGTATTGGTTTGAAACAACCCAAATTATCTTCTCTAAAATTTTGCTGTGCATATAATAGATGTTCAGAAAGTTAAATGAAAATCATAATCTGAAACATTCCTAAGATTCAAGTATGAATCCATATACTTAAGTTAGATGAAAATATGACCCCAATTCCTAGAGGTACACAAAAATTCTTATTAATCTTCACTGAGTATTTACTCAATACCTACTGACCATATGCCAAGGCAGTATGAACTACAAGGAAACAGAAATCCAGGACAGAAAGAAACCCATATGTAAAACAAGATACTTAAAACTTACGTTGTTAGCAAGAATGCCCCATCACCACATCTTTCCAGAGCCTTTCGTGCAGGAGGTTTCGCTGCAAATTCTACAAAACCTTTTCCAGTAGCTCTACCGCGATCATCCACAACCACAACCGCTTTCTCTACTGGACCAAACTGGGAAAATGCTTGCTCTAGAAGCTCATTGGAAACAACTGGAGAAAGGTTCTTGACAGTCAGGGCTGCTCCATGTGTAGCAAAACGAATTCGGAGAGGTCTGCTCTTCAAAATGGTGCCATCCAGCTCTGCTTTTGCAATTTCAGCCAGTGTTCTGGATTCCTTTTTAGGAGGAAAAATCACTTTTTAATGATATCAACACAAAAAAATTTAAAATAGTGGTTTGTTTCTAGGGAGGCTCGCTCGGTAGCTTTAGGAAATGACTGATAGAACCACTTTATTTCTGTCTTTCAATTTTGGTAGCACAAAATTAATTAAAGTTAATTTTCAAAGTTAATTAATTTTAGCCCGACCACTGAGTGTCAGACCTAAGAACCAAGAGGTCACATTTCAATTCCCATTCAGGGCACATGCCCAGGTTGCTGGCTCGATCCCCTGTAGGGGGCATGCAGGAGGGAGTCGATCAATGATTCTCATGATGTTTCTATCTCTCTCTCTCTCTCTCTCTCTCCTTTCCTCTCTGAAATCAATAAAAACATATAAAAAGTGAGTAATTTTAAATGTTCTAGAAAACCCCAAGCCCAATGTCCTATTAAAAGCCATCACTTAAAGGTTATCTGCTCACAAAAAATTACACACTACTAATTATTCCAAGCAATATATTTTAAAATCTCCTACATGTTAAAAGAAATACTGTACATAATTACTATTCGAGACCAAGTACCAGTTACTTTTACTACAAACTACTGTAAAAACAAAGTGTTCAGCCCTAATCGGTTTGGCTCAGTGGATAGAGCATCGGCCTGCAGACTCAAGGGTCCCAAGTTCGATCCTGGTCAAGGGCATGTACCTTGGTTGCGGGCACATCCCCAGTGGGGAGTGTGCAGGAGGCAACTGATCGATGTTTCTCTCTCATCGATGTTTCTAACTCTCTATCCCTCTCCCTTCCTCTCTGTAAAAAATCAATAAAATATATATTTTTTTAAAAAACAACGAAGTGTCTATGCATTTTTGATATTTATCTTTTTTTGCATTGATATTTTAGAGAGCAAGGAAAGGAGAGAAACATCAGTGTGAGAGAGACACACTGATGGGCTGCCTCCTGCATGTCCCCTACCAGATAGGTATCCAGCCCCAACATAGTCATGTGCCCAGACCAGGAATCAAACCGGAAAACTTTCCATGCATAGGACGAAGCCCAATCAACTGAGCCACACCAGTCAGGGCAATATTTATCAATATCTTAATAAAACATCTACCTCTCCAATGTCAGACAAATTGCCTTTCCTTTCTATTTCCATTTTTCTGTTATACTAGAGGCCTGATGCACAAAATTCATGCAAGAGTAGGCCTTCCTTCCCCTGACTGCTGGCACTGGCTTCCCTCTGGCACCCCGGGATCTGGGCTTCCCTCGCACCCCCGGCTTCGTCTGGAAGGACATCCGGTCTAATTAGCATATTATGCTTTTATTATTATAGACTAAGAGGCCAACCACTCACCTGCCTGCCTGATCGCCCCTAATCACTCGCCTGCCTACCTGATCACCCCTAACCCCTCTCCCTGCCTGCCTGATCGCCCCTAACAACTCTGCCTGTCTGCCTGATCACCCCTAACTACCTCTGCCTCGGCCCCCGCTGCCTCAGCTTCATCCAGAATGATGTCGGAAGGTCATTTGGCTGTCAGGTCTAATTAACATACTACATTTTTATTATTATAGATTATCTGTGAAAACTATCAGGTATTGTTAATCACTTCTGCAGAAATACTTTCATGGGCTACATATTTCTCAGCATTATACTGAAAGAAGCACACACACATACACATTCATGGGTTATAAGAGTTCTCTCCATTTCATAGAAAAGCAAGTGCACATGCACTTATAAACTAGAAACCACAAAAGATAATTCTTGAAAAGAAAGTATAGAATGTAGGCATATAAAACAATAAACAACAACCTGGTAAACTTAATAATGCAAGTACAGTGGGGCCTTGACTTACGAGTGTCCCAACTAACGAGTTTTTCAAGATACAAGCCGTCTCTCGGCCGATTTTTTGCTTTGAGTTGCAAGCTAAAATTTGGGTTACGAGCCAGCATCAGATACCCCACTGCTAGTTGGCGCAGCAAACGTCACAGTGAACACATCAGCCCAGCATCATGTGTCTCACTCGTTCACTGTTGATTTGACATACGAGTAATTCGAGTTACGAGCTCCGTCGCAGAACGAATTAAACTCGTAAGTCAAGGCCCCACTGTATGTTCTTTTTCTTTGTGTTGTGAGAACTCTCCAGAGAGATGTAAAAGAGTCTGTATATGCATTTGTAAGAGTACAAATATACTATCTTATAAAAAAAGTTTGAAGGTCATAAGAGCTCTTTATTCAATCCCTAAAATGTTGACAGCTTCAAAGTACTACACTTATGCAAAAGTCTATCTACAAAGCTAATATTACAAAGACAAATGAATCCAACATTTTTACAGATATTCAAAATGGACACTTTCTTTTGTACTCTTAATAGAAGTAGTACTAGCAAATATTTAATGAGTATCTAACTAGGGATAGTTACTATGTATTTAATATATCATATAACCTAACAATGCTGTGAAGTACATTTTAGGAATGGAGTCTTGAATTTAAATGCTGTCCGGTATAATTGGGAATGGGAAGGAACATAAGGAAATGTCACAGGATGGTGATAATGTTCTATATTTTGATAGGAGTTTGAATTAAACAGATGAATGTAATTACCTAAAATCCCCAAATCAGCCCTAGCCCGTTTGTCTCAGTGGATAGAGCGTTGGGGCAGAATGAAGGGGTCCCAGGTTCACTTCCGGTCAAGAGCATGTACCTCCATTGCAAGAGGCAACCAACTGATGTGTTTTTCTCACATCAATATTTCTGTCTTTCCCTCTCTCTTACACTCTCTAAAAATCAATGGAAAAATATCCTCAGATAAGGATTTTTTAAAAATCACCAAACCATACACTTAAGAGTTGTGCATTTTACTGTATGTAGATTTCCAATACCTTAAAAAATAATACTGGCCCAGACATGGTGGCTCAGTGGTTGAGTGTCTACCTATGAACTAGGAGGCCACGGTTCAATTCCCGGTCAGGGCACATGTACGGGCTGCAGCTAGATACCCAATGTGAGGGATGCAGGAGGCAGCTGATCAATGACACACTCTCTCCCTCTCCTTTTCCCTTCCTCTCTGAAATCAATAAAGATATATTTTAAAACAAAAAACTGGACTTTAGCATTTCAGAGTCATGGACTGATGAATAAAAAGAAATGAACCAGGTATGTGAAATAACATATACAGCCTGACTAGTGTGGCTCAGTGGATTCAGCATCGTCCCATGGACCAAGAGGTCCCAGGTTCAATTCCCAGACAGGGCACATGCCCAGGTTAAGAGCTCAATCCCCAGTAGAGGGCATGCAGGAGGCAGCAGACTGATGTGTCTCTCCCATAGATGTTTCTCTTTCTTCCTCTCCCTTTCTATCAATGAATCAATAAAAATATTTAGCCGCCGCCCACGAGGAAGTAAGTGGCTGCAGGTCCCAGAGCTGGTTCAGCACGTCGACTGCCCAGAGTCCGCAGCCGGGAGCCCAGAGGAGCTGAGAAGCCATGGCCTATCACAGCTTCCTGATGGAGCCCATCAGCTGCCACGCCTGGAACAAGGACCGCACACAGATTGCCATCTGCCCCAACAACCATGAGGTGCATATCTATGAGAAGAGTGGAGCCAAGTGGGTCAAGGTGCATGAGCTCAAGGAGCACAACGGGCAGGTGACAGGCACTGACTGGGCCCCTGAGAGTAACCGCATTGTGACCTGCGGCACAGACCGCAATGCGTATGTGTGGACACTGAAGGGCCGCACGTGGAAGCCCACCCTTGTCATCCTGCGGATCAACCGGGCTGCTCGCTGTGTGCGCTGGGCCCCCAATGAGAACAAGTTCGCTGTTGGCAGCGGCTCCCATGTCATCTCCATCTGCTATTTCAAACAGGAAAATGACTGGTGGGTGTGCAAGCACATCAAGAAGCCCATTCGCTCCACCATCCTCAGCATGGACTGGCACCCCAACAACGTGCTCCTGGCCGCAGGCTCCTGCAACTTCAAGTGCTGGATGTTCTCAGCCTACATAAAGGAAGTGGAGGAGCAACCAGCACCCACCCCATGGTGCTCCAAGATGCCCTTCGGGGAGCTAATGTTCGAGTCCAGCAGTAGCTGCGGCTGGGTCAGCCATGACAGCATGGCTGATGCTGATAAGAAGATGGCAGTCACAACTCTGGCCTCTGAAACGCTGCCACTGCTGGCCGTGACCTTCATCACAGAAAACAGTCTGGTGGCTGCGGGCCGACTGCTTTCCGGTGCTTTTTACCTATGACAGCGCTGAGCTTCGGTGGGCGGCTGGACGTGCCCAAACAAAGCTCTCAGCGCGGCTTGACAGCCCGCGAGCGCTTCCAGAACCTCAACAAGAAGGCGAGCTCCGAGAGCGGAGTGGCTGGCGGGGCGGGTCTAGACTCGCTGCACAAGAACCGCGTCAGCCAGATCTCCGTGCTCAGCGGGGGTAAGGCCAAGTGCTCGCAGTTCTGCACTACTGGCATGGACGGTGGCATGAGCATCTGGGATGTGAAGAGCTTGGAATCAGCCTTGAAGGACCTCAAAATCAAATGACCTGTGAGGAGAATGTTTGCCTCACCCCAGCTGCTGGGGGAGGGGTCAGGGAAGCTAAGGCTCGCTTTGCTGAGTATTTCTAGAGCAACCACAGGGGAAAGGGGGGGGAGGGGGTTGGAAGCTTTTCTTACCTATTTGAAGGAACACATGCCTTTTTCTTAAACAAATACTTTCATTTATTGTAAAAAAAAAAAAAAAAGGTCCCCAAAGCACTCTGCTAGTCATGAACTGCTTCAAAACATGGAGGTAATAAAAATACAATAGTAGATCCCTGACCGGATTGGCTCAGAGGATAGAGCGTCAGCCTGTGGACTCAAGGGTCCCATATTCGATTCTGGTTAAGGGCATGTGCCTTGGTTGCGGGCATATCCCCAGTAGGGGGTGTGCAGGAGGCAGCTGATAGATGGTTCTCTCTCATCAATGTTTCTAGCTCTCTGTCCCTCTCTGTAAAAAATCAATAAAATATATTAAAATTTAAAAAAA